CTGAGTGAGTGCACACACACCGTTAATCATTAGACACAGTGCTGACCTGTGTACACGTATTGGTTTTAAGTGACATGCATTGTCTCTTAACAAGAATAAATAATGAATAGATGTATAGAGTGGCGAAGTCCCGCCCATCTACTTCCGCCCCATGGGACCTTATTTCGGAAAAATAATGTATTGAAGTCAATGGAGAGAGAAAGATTATCTTTCTATCCCGTTTGAATTGTGCCATGAATTACACATATGATGTTTGTCAATCTTAAAAAATCATTTCCATGTCAAAAAAGTCACAGTTTGTCGTAAAACTGTTGAAATATAAGACTATGAAAAATACGCAACTAGAAAGACTACAAATCCCAGAGTCGCGTAAGTGATGTCACAATTGTTTTCCTCCACTAAGAGATAGCTAAGATCAGCGCCATATAGATATAATCTATCTATATGGCGCTGGCTAAGATCAGATAACTTTAACAAGATGCCTGTGTGCTTAGTACCAGGTTGTTATCATACCAGCAATGGGTCTTGCTCGTTCTTTCGCTTCCCGTCTGATGAAAGGACCAGGAGTGTCTGGATCAAGCTAGCTAGTAGCTAGCACGTTAGTTAGCATTACAGCCTTGTCATTTTTATTAGCCTTAACATGAAGTAACATTAAGTAACCCACAATGTTAAACAGTAAGAGTAGTAGTCATATTTCGTGAACCCTTTGAATAGTACTGTCACCGGTGTGATCATTCTATAATACACCATTTAAGCCCGGGGGAGAAATGCTAACGCAGCTTTGCATGACATTCTTCAGGACGTGTTTCATTGTGGTGATAGTGAGGGAAGTCAATCGTTTTGTTGACAAGACAGTAGTGACGGCCATCTTGGTGACGTGTGTTGTTGACCAGAGATGTAGTTCATTGAGCGTTTCACACAAACAAATGTGTTACTTCACAGTTTTACGACACTTTTTTTTTTTTTTGACTTGCAAAATTATCTTTTAAATTGACAAACATCATATGTGTAATTCGTGGCACAATTCAAACGGGATCGAAAGATAATCTTTCTCTCTCCATTGACTTCAATACATAATTTTTCCGAAATAAGGTCCCATGGAGGTACACCGGAAGGGGAGGGACTTCGCCACTCTATTTCCCTGGCATACAGCCTGAGAGGCTGCCTCCTGCCCTGCTTCACCTCTGTTCCGCTCTCACGTGTAGACCCTCTGAGAGCGAAACCCTCGTACAGGTTCTGGACTCTCAGATACTTCACATGGAGATGGAAAATAAAAGGTGTAAACCACAGCTTCACATAATATCACATGTGAAACAGCAGTATGCGCATGCGTGATGAAGTCACATGGAGAGATGTTGTCTGTGGAGACATGATTTAGTTATCTCTAACAGACTGGAGGGATTTGATTTGTAGATCTTATCTATTGATTTGATGCAAACAGACTTTCACTTTAAAAGGAAATGCTTTAAGATTTGAAATCAAAGGTTTCAAATCCAAAACAAACAAATAAATCATCTCTAGAAGTTCACATGTTTAAATGTCCTTTTGTCAAAAATAAAAGTTTTTGTTTTTTTGACTGGATAGTTGGAAGATTGGACCCGATCAGATTATAGTCTTAACATAGGAATGTGGACATTTATGTATTAATTGAAGTGCCATTTTCTTTCATATTTATGATACGAAATATCTTATATAATATATAATACTCACACACACAGTGATGGCTGGAGAACAGGCCATAGTTACACAGTGCTTTGTATGAATCAGGTCAGCGGGGGGCGCCACAGAGCTGCGGGACCACTCAACTCATCTCACAAATAAAACGTGCGAACCATTTCACCGACACAAGCCATCTTGCCTCCTACCTCACTTCACTCTGCCATGCTGGGAGTTGAACCACCAACCCTCTGTTTGTTAGGCATCCATTTGACCCCTTCAGCCAAAGACACCAGTACATATTCCAGTCAAATTTCACAGCATTGGCTTCTACGTTTATTAGGGTTATGCCATTTTTGCCTCTCACATATTGGGGATTTGAGCCACTGACCCCCACATTGGTAGGTATCCATTTACTCCGTGCGCCAAATACACCCAGATGTATTCATCAAAGTTTTACCAGCTTGGCTCATTCTTATATTAGGGTTGGTTAGAATGGTACTTGATTACCTGAATATGTCCGTTAGCCAAAACTGGAATTAAGCCAAAATATCTTTCTACCTTTTTCCGTTTTTTAAACCACAATTAAAAATGTTTTTACAATAGTTTGCGAGAGCTATTATTTTGAAAGAACTTGAAGAGTTCCTCCCCGGCAGCTCAGTGAGGTAAAATAACAAAACAATAGAGCATGCTGGGAGTTGAACCCACTGATCCTCAGGTTGGAAGACACCATTTACCCTTTAGTCACACACACATATTGCATTAACATCTCACTATTACCTTACATTATAACATTCTCTTAAATTAAAAGCTTTTACATTCAAGCTTTATTATCTGGATTGGG